GGCTTATAAATAACACTTGGTGCGGCAATTATTATTCATTGCTAGTTATGGCTTTCACACAGTGGAAAAACAAATGGTTTTTCCACTAGGAGCCGGAGCTGCAGTCCGTTTAATCACTAAAGAGCTTGGAATCACTTTAGTTTAAAATAACTTTCCGCTGTGGTTTGGAAATTTAAAAAAAAAAAAAAAATATTTGGGTCACGTTAACCTAGTGTATACAACTTGCCCTGAGAATTTCAGTTTACCTCATCTACATCTACTGAGCCCCATAAATATCCCTGCATTCACTCCCATTTGGTTTTGCAGAGCTCCTGCCTGCCCAAAGGCAGAGCTGCCCAAACAGAGATTTGAAGTGGGGTTAGTCTGGCTAGAAGTGGAGTCCTGGAGCTGAGCATGGAGTACAGAAGCAGCGAGGAGCCAAGCTGCTGTCTGCCACAGCCGCTCTCTGGCCAGGGTGCAAGGGGATGTGGCTGGTGCCTTCAGGAAGCTGCGTGGATTGACTTTCCATCACGTTGCTCCTAACAGAGGCTGCCCAGAATATCAGCCTCGGGTACTAGGAGGTCACTTGAGGTTTTGACAGCCAGGTTTGGGGTGAGTTCTTTATGTGCAGTGTCCAGCCACATCCCACTGGTGGTTCTTGCTCAGGGGTGAGTGTTTCCCTCTGCAGAGCCATTCCTTGCCCTGCTTCAAGGTTTCCATGAAAACGAAGAAGAGCCTGTGGAGGGGACAGAGGAGCCACAGTGATGTGAAAAAGTGCTCCCCACGTTACCCCTGTGTTACTGGACCCCATCCTGTTGCGCAGCAGTGCCAGTGCAGCATCCTCAGGGTTAGGTCCTGCAGGTGGCTGCTGTTCCGTGGTGGTTTCCACCCTGGCTAACGCTCCGTGAAAGGCAAACGACTGCCGCTCCTGGGAAGAGTGAGCTAATTTTTTCCGAATGGCACAACTTTACATATGACAACTGTGACTTCTGTCTGGGCTGCAGTGTGAAATCTGAGAGATGGCTGTGAGCAGCAGCTGCCAGAGGGAGCAGAGCTGAGTGCTTGGGTTCCCAATTACTCCTCTCCCTCTTCTTCCTTGCAGGTATTGGAAGGCTCTTGATGCCACAGTTATGAGAAGGGAAGGTGTTATGCCTGGGTTTTGCTTGTTTCTAGAGTTTGAATTTCCACCTGGGGGTCTGCCTGTCTCCAAACTTCAGGTATTTTAATGTAACCAGCTCGAATGTTGGCTTTACCTTCAGTGATCTGCTAGAGGATGCAAAATGAGGGGTCTTTAGAGCTGGCCTCATGGTGGGTTGGAGCTGCAGCAAAGGCTAGTGGTTTCTCCTGATGGTTGGCACGTGGACATCTGGGTTAAAGATGTCCAGCTGAAAGACTGCCTGCTGTTACAGAACTGGACAAGTTTGCAAAGCTCCTTTTGGTTGAGTAGGTTTAGAGATCAAAGAATTCTCCATCTTGGTTAAAGATGCTTCTGTTGATTAAAGATGCTTCTGAGGCCTTAATGCTGTTGTCCTAATAACAAAAGTCTCCTGCCCCGGAGTCCCTGCTAAAGGCTTGATCCTATGTAGCTGTTTCAGAGCCCAGGGAGGTTTTGTGGATCCGTCCTCCTCCCAGCCTGCAGGGTTTATCTGCTCCAAAGATGAGAGTGCTGCCCAGCTGATGAATTTGTAAGTCCTACTATTGTGGAGCTCACAAACTTCTAAAAGGCAATTCTTGGGTCTGTTTTAATTTAAATCAGATGTGCAATGTCCTGCAGCAGTAACGCAAGGAAGGTCCTTGCTCCAGTGTTTTGTCCCCATTTGATGGGTCAGATGGGTGGGATTAGGAAGGAGATGGGCTCATCGTGCCCTGTGTGCCTGTGACCATTTTTGGCACCTTTCTGTGCTCTTTCTGGGGCAGCTATGAAGACTCAGCTGCTTTTGCAACCTTGATCAAAGAGACATCCACTGGGAAGCTTCCATGGTAAAAGTAGGAGAGGGTGTTCTGGGGCAGGGAGAAGGCAACGTTGTTCTTGGGACAAAGCTAAACTCTGACGGGACATAATGAGTCTGTAGTTACAAAGATGGTATTCAGTTATTTCTTTTCCATGGGTTTTCAAGCCTTTGCACTGTCACTTCCCTGGCAGCAAATCAAACACCAAGTCAGTTTATGTTAAGAACAGAAGATGAAGTCCTAGATAAGCACTCGGCTGTAGGAATGTCTTATATTGAGATGTATGGGGAGGACAGGGAGGAGAGTCTGTCTTTGCTCTCAGTGCCGTCCAGACCCCATGTCTGTGACCAGGGCTATGTTTCTCTCTGCTGAAGTGCTAGTATCAACAGCTCCTAGGATGCTTCTTGCTTCCAGGATGTGAGATGAACAGAGAGGAGGGTACAGTGACAGATGCCCTTTTCCAGGGTGACTCGTAGCCTTTTGGTGATGATAGCACCAGAGTTTTGCATGGACCAGGAGTGCATGTTTCGATGGATGATGGAGTAATCACACCATAACCCACCTTTTAGCCACCACTCTTCTCTGGGACAATGATACCCGTCACTGCTGAGCTGGTGTGCTCAGCACCTGTGGGTGCTGGGGTGCAGACCTGGCCACAGTGTAGGGTGCAGAGTGGTAGCTGCGGTCTGACCTCCTGTTAGTGTAAATATTCCCAAATAATGCTTCTGTTCCTGCCAGCTCCTCTCTCTCCCCCTCTACCATGTTTAATTTCTGACTAAACTTTTGATAAATGTTCTGTATGGAGTTCCTAGTTTATCTTAAATAGACCTGCTGCCATCATAGCTAAAATCTAAACCAACACTTGACTTAGGGCTCAAGTGCCAGAATGAACTTGGCAGTTGTTGACATACTGGACGGTCCTGTTTGAGGTGCAGACCTCAGCTATGAATTGTGAGGACTGGCTCTTGGGGCAGATGGGAGAGCACAGCTTTTGGGGTGCCTGAGAACAGCCTGGGAAGTATCTGGAGAAATTTTCTCTCTCGGGGGGTTGGGTCAGACCACAGTTGCTGTATTTTCGGACTTATACCTGTCTGAAACAGGTCAGTTGGTTAAATGAGTTCATCCAACCTTACGCCAGTTAGCCCCAAGTGGGGGCTGGCCCACAGTCCTGCTAAAGTAAGCAGTTCAGGGCAGTGTTTATGGCCAATAATTTGTCCTGGAGTGTTTTATATATACGTGTGCATGTGCCTGTGGGCATACACACGAGCATATCCATACATTCTCGCTCAGGAACGCGGTTTCCAGTCCTTTCAACTTGTTCAAAAACTAAACTAGGGAGAAACTGGCAGTGAGTCGGAGCCGCCTGCCAAGCATTGCAAACCAGAGAAGTGGTAAAACATAAACACTTTGGAGTTTATCCTCAGGATTTATACAGTTTGGCTGCTGGGGGACGGACTTGTGTGGAGGGGGATGGCTCGTCAGCTCCTGCCGTGCTGCTCCCGCGGCACCGAGCCCGGCACCTCTGCAGCCGAGCTTCCACTCCTGGCAGCTTGTGAGCAAGAGGGTGTAGTGCAGGGCTGTCCATCCCTCCCCTCCTGCTCTGCTGGCCACATGGGGTGGGTTTTGGGGTGATGGCAGCAGAACAGGTCTGCTTCTCTCCCCACCCCTCCCTTGCACTAAAGTAAAAGCAGACCTCCTTGACGCTTAATCAGATTTGAATGTGTTTTTTGGCGTGGCTTTAAAGAGACTGGCAGTGAATAGCTGGGTTTGATGCCATTTATTAAAAACCTCTGGTAGAATTTGTCTCCGAAAGCCTTTGTAAGAGCTGGCAAACGCACAAGGGTTTGATGCAGTTAATGTATTTTAATCTTCACCCCCCCCACACACACCCCCCTTTCCCTTTTCTGCTGCTAATTGTAGGGCTCTCAGCTGTCTGCCGCCTTCTCCGGGGGGATGGCAGGCTCTGCAGGGACCTGTACATACACAGTCTTAATAAGGTTGCAGTGGCGTGGAGAAAAGTGAGCATCCTCTTCAGGGAGGAGGGCTGGGACGGGTGGTGTGGGGTGCCAGGTCTCACACCACGTTCTGACACGGGTGCACTGGGTGGTCCTGTCCATGTTAATTAACTTCCTGGTGCAGCCTCATTCTCCTTGGAGGAATGAGACAGATGAATGGGGGGAACAAAGACGTCCCTTTTCCAGGGGCAAAGTGTTCATGTTGGACCCACTCAGCAGTTGGATCCTGAGAAGGGCTTCCTGAGGCTCCCTTTCAGATTGAGTTTGATGGTCTTTCGTCACTGGCTTTGTCCCTCACTTGCTGGGTATATCCACCTTCCTTGGAGCCAGAGTACTTTCTGAGCCCATTTAATGCTCCTCATCCGCATTTGGGACTTTTTGGGGGCTTTTTTTCACACTTTGTGCCCCAAGGCACTGCACCCCCTTGCAGCATGGTGAGAACTGTCAGGAGCACCATAACATTGACGTGAGCAATTTGTGGAGCTCAAGGAGCAGTTTTCCCCCAGCCCACAGTTTGGGCTGTGTGTTGCTCCTGTCACTGCTCCTTGTTTTCCCTGTGTGGAAGAGCTCAGAGCTGTGGCCATGCCCTGGAGCACTCTTCCTGGTTGAGGGACAAAGTTGGAATTGCTTTGCATTTAGTTCGCCTCATCAGAGAAAAGCAAACGTGGCCTTTTTCTACCAGCCCTCACTCATGTGAGTTGCAAATTCAGCGAGAGGGAGGCGTGGATGGAAATGACTCCCAGGAGAGAAACAGTCTGAGAGACTTAAACAAATGGGAACTGAGCAGCTTTGCTCTTCTTCCCCTGAGGGTTTGGCTGTTAAATAAACTCACCAGTGAGTATGGCTGCACTGTGTGTGTTGGTGCAGAAGTGTGTTTGTACACAGGGTGTTGCTGGGTGTAAGCCACTGGGATGGGGTGTGCTGGGTGCTCTCCTCCTTGGCACAGAGATGCTCAAGCAGCCTTGGCTGGCCTTGCCTTTGTCCAGCTTTTGCAGGGGTGGCTGTGGTCACAGGGAACCTAACCTGACCTTTCCCTCTTCTCCTTGCCCTCTCCAGGGTTCCACCTCAGCGGGACGGTAACAGAGCCAGCGACTGCAACAGAACCAGAGATGACCTACAAGGTGGCCATCAGCTTCGACCGCTGCAAAATCACCTCAGTGACGTGCGGCTGCGGGAACAAGGACATTTTTTACTGCGCTCACGTCGTGGCGCTTTCACTGTACAGGATCCGCAAGCCGGACCAGGTCAAACTCCGTCTTCCCATCTCAGAGACCCTTTTCCAGATGAACAGGGACCAGCTCCAGAAGTTTGTTCAGTATTTGATCACGGCACACCACACCGAGGTGCTGCCCACCGCCCAGAAGTTGGCTGATGAGATCCTGTCGTCCAACTCGGAGATCAACCAAGTGCATGGTAATTCCTCCCCCCTCCCCGGGTGACCCGGCACTGCTTCACTCTGTGTTTGGGTTGGGTGGTGGTTTTGATGCTGGTGGTGATGCCAATGGTGATGGCCTTCATTTTGCTGTTTGTCTGTTGCTGGCAGTGTCACACTGATGTTAGTGCGTGGGTGTTGGGACCACATCGTCAGGGCATCCCCATCCTGCCCCCTGCTCCTCTTTATGTGTTTGTCTGTCAAACACAGGCTTCAACAGGCAGGGAGAGACAGAGCAGGCAGGCTGGTGGTGCACAAGGCACAGCTTAGAGTAGAATGGAGAAGCGAAGGGCGGAGGATGGCAGCAGGGTTAGCCCCCAGCACAGAAGGAGGTGGTTCTGGGACCCCTGCGGAGCGAGAGGGGCAGTGGGGATGTGGCTCCTCCATCACGCAGGGACGCGGTGTCAGCCCCAGCCCTGCACGTTGCTAAGTCAGATGCGGCTGAGCCGGCGGGAGATAAAGCTTTAATCTCCATGGGCGTTAATTTGCCCATAATAAATGAGCGCCGCTGTTCTGACCTACTGCACAAAGGCAGTGGAGATGTGTCCTAGGGCTTTGTGTTTGGAAAGTGCTTTTCACTTCCTCCCCTGGAAGTGTGAGGGACAGTGCCCATCCCAGCCCTGCTTTGCTGGCCCAGGAAGTGTCCCAGGCTCAGGGGGTGTCTCCTGCTGTGTCTTTCCGAGGAGCCCAGGAGGTTGCCCAGGGTCTGCAACAATGAGCCGCTCCCCACCGTGCCTGTCCCACCAGCTGTAGAGCAGAGATAATAAACATTTATCTGCCACGGAAGGGGCGTTGCGGGGATTAACACATGCCTGTTAAGTGCTCTGAAGATGAAAAGCCCCATGTGCAGCCTAAAATATCATCTGAACTGGTTGAATCCACATGTAGAGGTGAGGCCAGCGGTTCACCTCCACCGTAGGGGTGATGGCAGCTCTGATCTTAGATGTCTTCCCCTCCCTCTATCTGGTCGTTCCTGCTCCTACGTTGGGAGTGGCCTTTGTCTCCTCTGCTGGACCATGTCTGCTGCATGGGAGGTTGTGCTCTAAATAACTGGCTTTTGCAGGGGGCAGGGGGTCCTCAATTTTTGGCATTATGAAAGAATGAGGAGCTGTGATACTGCAGGGATCTGGTGAGGGCCACTCCCTCGCTGAGCAGATCTACTGAAGCTGAGGCTGGGCAAGATCCCTTCTTGGCCATTGTTCGAGGCTGCTTTCTCCTAAGCAGATTGAAGTAAAGCTTTTAAGACTCTGAATATTTATTGCTCTAGAGTCAGCAAAAGGCTGGTGATTGAGAGTCTTACAAAGATACAGATGTTGGCTCCGGTTCAAGATCTGCCTCGTGTTTTCACAAGTGGTTTTGAAAAAAAAAACAAAGCAAAAATTCTTGGTGCCTTCAGACTCGTGCAAATTCACACACTCCAGTGTGTGATTTTGAACCAACAGAGACATGTTGACTCACCCCACAGAAGGTGACACCTGTCTGACATCCCTGTGGCTGCCCAGCTGGTTACAAGAGAGGAAATGCCTCTGCAAGCAGGAGAGCAGCCTCATCTCATCCTGGGGGAGGATGCAGATAAGCCCTAGGATGATGAGATGATCTAAAGATGACCTGTAACTTCTAGATTTTGCCCCCTTTGAAAAGGAAGGCTCCGAAAAGCTCACATTCAGGTTCAGAGTGATCCTGTCCAGGGTTCCGAGTCTTGACCCCGGACAGTGTTGCAAGTTTGCCCTCCTTGTCTGCCAGAAACAGGCACAGTCAACTGCATTGCAGAGCTGCTTGAGCCCAGGAGAGGAAGAGCTCCAGGCATGTGGGGCTTTGTATAGGAGAGCAATTTTGGGGTCTCCAGTTGAAGGGGATGCAAATCTTTCCCCCATCTCTCCCTTTCCAACTGTGGCTCATGCATTCATAGTGGGTCACTGATCCTGGGATTTGTGTTTCTTCTAGCTGTGCTTTACACAGAGGTTTATGGGCTTATGCTTACAGTTCTTGACTGTGTCTAGTTCAAACCCTTGTGGTCACACCTTCATTCACCTTGGGGTTGGGACCAAGGTGGCTTTTGGCAGGCCAACTTCTGCAACCCAAGCAGTAGCCCAGTGTGTGTTCACTGGATACCTGAGATTATTACACCTTGGAGCAAGAACAGCCTCTCCAGGAATCTTTTATTCCTTCCCCCACCCATTTCTTCTGAGGAGAGGTCTGTTGAGCTTTATCTAAGCATTGGGTCTTCCCCACCTGCTTCTGGTCACCCGAAGGGCTGCTCTTCCCGTGCTGACGGCGAGCACATGGGATGGAGGAGCTGATTCTGCACCAGTTTGGCTGGAAAATGCCCGTTGTTTAAAGGGATTGTCTGGTTTTGTACAATAAGGCTGTCAGGGATGCTCCTTCTCCTCCTGCAGAGCCTGAATGGCAGAGAAAATTACGGGCCATTGTCTGGCACGCTCGGCTCCGGGCATCGGAGCTTTGTTCCTTGCAGGAGTCTGTAGCCACGGGCTGTGCACCGCGTGCCGATCTTCCCGGCTGTCTTCCTAGAAGGAAATGCAAACTATCCAGTAATGATGGAGTCTTGGAGCGCAGCCAAGGCGCTCGCGTGTTCTCGAAGGATTCAGTCCAAGCGGAGCTCCAAGGTGTGTGCCTGCCGCTCTGCTCCCCGCTTGGCCTCTGCCCACTGAAGGGGGTCACGTTTCTGCTCCCGTGGCCTGGCCGCGCAGGGCAGCGTGCTCACAGCGAGGGCATCTCGCCCGCCTGGCAGCGCCACGCTTAGCATCTGGAGTGGCAGCTGGAGGGAGGAGACCAGGGCTGGTTTCAGTGCCGTAGTGTGCCCTCCCCAGGGGGATAAAAGCCAGCGGTGTGACTGCCCAGCACGGAGCAAGGCTGCGAGGGCGTCATTGCGCCAGCAGGAGTGTCTCGTGGCTGCCTGGCCTTTCCCAGCGGGGTGAATGCTGCGGGCATCCAGAATCCGCAGCTGGAGAGCTTGGAGCCAGGACTCCAGCAAAGTGAGGATTACCTGGTGGTGGCCACCTTGGCACCCTGCTCCCTCCCTCTCTCCTCCGAGAGCATCAGCCCGGGGCTTGCCTTGGCTTGCTGTGGCGCCAGCCTGGCTCAGGGGAAATGCAAGCTGAGGACCATCAGCCATGGTGGGTCGTGCTGGTGGATTGGTGCAGCTTTGCTGTTGGGGGATCCATTGCTCTACCACTGTGAAACCTGGGAAGAACACGTCTTCCCGAGGCGTGGATGAGGGAGAGAGAGCGATTGCTTTGGTGCAGTGAAGTACTGCAGAGAGAGGCAGGAGGTGTTGGAGAGGGCAGCACTGAGAAAAAGCTGAAATGGGAGTTGTAGGCAGAGAGGGAGATTTTGGGGGCAAAAGCAAGCGAAGGAGAGGGAACTCAGAAGCACCAGTGAGTCCTGACAGCAGTGCTGGTTTCCCTGCTCTCACAGCTTGGATCCAACATCCATCATCAGGCAGTGCACAGGATCCAAGCTATCCAGGTAACCTTCTTTTCCTCTGGTATTTTGGTTCATGCTTGTAGGGAACAATTTGAATTTATTTTAAGAGGAAGACTGGATCAGTGTGAGGTGTACAGAAAGGAAAGCCGTGTTTCAGATACATTCCTTGAACTTGGTTGGGATATCTGGGCTTTGGAAGCAAACTGGATTCTTCCTGAGGGCAAAAGCAGTCTGTGGCAAAGGAGAGGAGGCTGATGGAAACCACTGCAGGGCCACAGAGAGTGATCATTAAAATCTGTAATTAAAAGCTTAAAGACAGGACTGTGCTCCTGCAGAGACTCAGGAGCTTCCTTGGAGGAGACTTTCGGAAAACCCTCAGGCCTTGGTGTGGGAAAACCAGATCTGCTTATGGAAAAACCATAAGGAGGCCTCTGCCTCATCTGTTTCCCTTTGTCCCAGATGCATTCTTGACCACCTTGAGCCTTCCTTCAGCTCCTGGGCTAAAACTGTCCTTCACCCCTTGGCCCATCTTGCTCCTTGCACACTTCAAGTCGGCTGCCAGGTCGGCGTGCGGGAAGTCCCTGCTTGTCCTGTCACAGCGAGCCAGGACTGATGTTTGAGGAGTCCTGGGGCAGTCTTTAACTTTCAGGTCATCCTGAGACAGTGTCTGGAGGGCAGCACCGGTAAATCTATTTGAAATTCTGCCTTCCTGCAGTGGAGGAGGAGAAGGTCAGATCTCCAGGGGATTCGTGTTCCTGTTTGCTGAGCTGATGTGGATTTAAGGGAAAATAACACACCTGAGTGCTGGAGAGAAAGGCAGCTCTTCCCCCTTGTCCTGCAAAGCCACTGGGGTTGCCAAATAACACTAGAGCACATGAGTGGTGCTTGACAAGCAGCTTCCAAAGTTGGGTGCACCAGATAGTGGTACCAGCTGGACCACAGAGCTCCACCATGCTGAGATCCAGTCCAGATTCACTTGCCCCATTGCTGGCAGGTGTGTTTCAATCTTCAGGCCACCCTGGAGGACCCTCCCCCCCCACCCCAACCTGTCTCCACTTGAAAACGAATCAGGAGCCTTGGCAGAGCTTGATTCCTTGCTTCACTGCTATTTTTAATCCCTTGTTAGAGTTCATTTCCTTTCTGGTGCCTGGTTATTTTCTCTCCAAGGTTTTCTGCTGTTTGCTTATTTGTCCACGTCCTCCCCACCCCCTGCCCTGAGCTGTTCCTTCAGGTCTGTTTTCCCTCTGGGCTCTGGAGAGGCAGCCCAGGGGCATTCAGCAACACCACCACGTGCAGTCATGAGATGACCCCTGTGAAGTGCCACAGTGATGGCAAGCCCTGCTCTGGGCACCACTGACCCTGGGGCCAGCGTGGCCAGGCCCTGAACCACTGACAGATGCTGGGCACAGTTTGGTGAGATGACCATGGGGGCGATGCTGGAGCAATCATCTTTATCCCTGAGTGGCTTTCAGCATCAGTTTGTCAGCTCCAGGCACTGGTTAAAAATAATAATTATCCCTTTTTTCTTTGTGTCACCAATCCTACTTTGGGTGAGACGCTCTGGGAGTATTTTCCACCTTACCCATCCTTCTTGGGTTCAGGAGCTTGTGTTTGGGATGTGCCAGTGCCTTGGCATGACCCACGAGGTCCCACTGCCTCCTTAGCCCTGAAAATCTGCATCGTTCCAGGCCAGGAGAACGTTTCGTTTTCTTCATGTAAGGCAGCTAATTTCAGAGCAAGGAATTGAATTTTCCCGTGCCTGGCTTCACTCTGTTTCCTTATTTGTTGATTTTTCCAGTCCTCATTTCTCAACCTTTGTATTTGCCTGGAGAAGCCTTGCTTGGCTGTCAAACAGTTAAACCCCAAGCCCCCTGCGAGCGGGGAGTCCTGCTCGGGGTGTGACGGCTTGCACTTTTATCTCTGTTTCTGCAGCCAGCGTAAACTGGGCTGGTGAAACGCTTTCCGCTCAAGATGTGCAGTGGTGTTTCCTTAAATCTGAATCCGGCAGGACCGGGATCCAGCACACATCTGAAACAGGCCTCTTTGGAGCACGAATGCTGCTATATGAGAAATGTGCTATGCAGGCGCCGGGCTGTTTAACATGCCGTTCCCGGCTCCTTTGGAGCCGAGACATGGAATCACTCATCAGCTGCGTCACGGCATACCGCTGCTGAAGCCCCCACGGTGTGAACGTTGGCAAGGGGAAGTGGACAAATCCTGCCATTAATATTTAAACCCAGCACAAATCCCGTTGTTTGCTCTTAAATGTTTATCCAGCTCCCCGGCGTAATTGGGCAGCCTGTTATCTGCCGGGCTGCGCTGCACGTGTGGGAATCTGCTATTGCAGCCCTCCCTCTGAATGTTTTGCAGGAGAGCAAAATACGTTTTCGAGCAGATTTGGGTTTTGTTGGGAGGCGCGGGAGGCGCGTTGCTAATTTGGCTGCGGCCCGAACCCCGACGTGCGAAGTGCTCAGTGTGTTGTGTGGGAGGAGGAGGTTTTTATTTAGCTGCACGCTCCTTTCCTCGCTGCCCGGGCTTTCCGTCGCTAACGCTGCGTGAGAGCAGCGAGCGCCGAGGGTAGCCGGGGATCCCCCCCCCAAAAAAAAAATGCAGTCGCTCTTTGCGTCTTGAGAACTCCTCCACCTTAACCTGTCCCAGCGGCCGCGGTGAGGGACCAAGGATGAACTGAGCTTAGGTGGGCCTCCCCAGGCACCTCCTGGTCCCTACAGATGCAGCCAGGTGACCCTGTAAAGGCAGTTGAGGCTGCTCTGGATAGCTGCAGCAAGGAGTGGCGGGCAGGAGGGTGGGGAGGAGGATATTAAGAGTGCAAGCGTCTGGGATACCTAGTGATGGGGCCGGATAAGCGCTCATGGTAGACAGATTAGTCATCGGTTCCTGATAGGGGATAATCGCTGGCTTGTCTGCTCTTTATCTGCGAGATAAGGATGGGGCTGGGGGAGGGAAGGAAAAGGCACAGAAAAGCTCAAAGGGCCGGGATGGACTGTCCCTGTCCCTGGTGTGGTTGTCCCTCGTGGCTTATGGCAGAGCTTGGCCACTGGCAGCGGAGGAGCGGGATCAGGGCATGTGTGGGGCTGTAGGCAAAAGCCTTCATGCTCATCCAGGAGCTGTGATTTCCTTTCTGTTGCTTCAGCTCCCATCCCAGTTATGTGGTTGTGTCGCCTATAAATTATTCTGCAGAGGGAGAAGCAGCATCCTGTCCCTTCAGCATGCCTAGAGCTTGCTGGAACTTCTCTCAGGCGGTGATTGTTAGCAGAAATTAAGTGATTTTTGTAAAGGACGTTAAATACAAATATCTTACCGGGTCAGGAGCATTCTCAGCCTTTCCTGGAGGAGCAAAACCCCTCGGGTTGGTGTCGTCTTGCTTACAAGCCAGGAAGAGACAGTTGCCCTGCTGAACAAGCATCCTGGAGCATGATTTTCATGAATTGCATTTGAGCTCTTGGTTCAGCAATGCACAGGGCTGAGGCGTGCACAGCATCCCAAGCTGTCTCAGTAGAAAAGTGATTTCTGGTGCCCAATCAGATCCCAGTCAGTTGGGGAAGACATCATTAAGATTTAACTGGGAATATGTCAGCTACAGCATCCCTTAGCTCTCTGGCCTCCTTCCTTGCTTGAGAGGGAGATGAGATAGGAGAAGCAGACCAAAGTGGAGTGGACCATCCCCCAGCCACCTCTGTCCCTCCTTGGCATTGGTTCTCCCTGACGAGTCTCTGAGCAGGACTCAGAAGAAGGCAGCTGAAAAGCCAAGTTTCTGTTCCCTTTTGTGCTCCTGGCTGCTCGCTGCATTTGTGCTGCTGCCTGCCCTGTGAGCCCTGGAACACATCACTGGAGGTAGGATAGTGCTTTGGTGGAGGGGAAATGGGAATTGAAAGGGGCAAGGCAAGGGAAATTTGGTCCAAGTTGTTTGAAGCACTTGTGGGTTTTCTGCCTTTTTTTGTTCTCTGGAAGATGAAGTACAGCCTTTGAACACATGCATGTGACTTCCAAAGGCCCTGCTCTGGTCACAGTTTGCTCTTTGAAGGATTATCGATCCTTTGTTCTTTCCTGCAGAGGGGTCTCTCCCAGGCAGGTACATGGATGCCCAGGGACTTGTCCCCTGTTCTAAAGCAAATGAGGGGCAGGACCAGGTGTTTAACCCAGGGCTCTGGAGCCCATCTGCAGTGGTACCTTTGTTAGACTGTTCCAAACGTGGGAAAGGGCTTGCGGGAACTGGAGCTTTACTGATGCCTTAACAAACCCGTGATGTGAAGCAGCAGGATGAGCACCCTGGGCAGTCCCTGGAGCCGTGGAGCGCTCCAGGCTCTGCAGCTGCATTGCCTGCACTCCTGGGGCTTTGGAGGAAGGCAGGCCCCTGCCTTCCCTCGGTCCCATGTCCTGTGGGGTGCGGAGGGAGAGTGGCCAGGCAATCATTAGCCCTGTGGTCAGGATCACTCCTGATGGCTGCTGCTGCCACCACCGTGTTGGGAGAGCATGGTGCTGCCAAGTGGGGCTCCCTGCCTGGGAATTAGGGTGGTATTCACCCACCTGAACTGATGAAATACAAGTAGGTGCACTCCTTGCTGGTGGGACTGCTGATCCTGCTGCGATAAACACAGTTGTCTCTTTTCTCCTCCCTCCCTGTCCCCTCAGGTGCTCCTGACCCCACTGCTGGGGCCAGCATCGACGATGAGAACTGCTGGCACTTGGACGAGGAGCAGGTCCGAGAGCAGGTGAAGCTGTTCCTATCTCAGGGAGGGTACTACGGCTCGGGGAAGCAGCTCAACTCCATGTTTGCCAAGGTGAGGAGCCGGCTGCTCTCTCCCATCTCCGCTCGGCATGTCACGTAGCTGGCAGCTCGCTGGCTGCCCTGGCAGGGTGCCCATCACAGCTGGGAATCTCTGCTCCAGTGCCTTCTCGCCCTGTCGCGGAGCAGGCGGTTATAATCCAGGCTCTGGGTCAGGCCTGGGTTGTCTCACCTGCTGTCCTGGCAGGTCCCTTCCTCCCATGTGATGGGCTTGCCGTGATCCCTGTGCGAGGGAAGGCATTCCCTCGTCTCCCCTTCAGCGCGGTGGGGAAAAAGCCAACCCTGCAGAGCCTACCGAGACGTGGAAAGGTGCCAACAGCCTATGGACTCTTTGCAGAAGGGCTTTGTTTTCATGTTTGTAATCACTTGGTCCTCTTCACAGCCAGTTGGGCTCCAACCAGCCTCATCACAGCCGTTACATGAGGGTTATAATGTATGATTACACCTTATACACACACACACATATATACGTATATATATGTATGCATTTACAGTCTGGACCCTCAGGATGAGGGAGGGGTGGGTTGCCAGCCAGGTGAATGTGTCTTAAACACCTCTGAGGGATCATGCTTGCCTCACCAAAGACTTCTCTTTGTCCTCTCCAGGTCCGGGAGATGCTGCGCATGAGGGACTCCAACGGGGCCAGGATGCTGACGCTGATAACAGAGCAGTTCATGGCTGATCCTCGGCTTTCCCTCTGGAGGCAGCAGGGGACAGGCATAACGGAGAAGTGCCGGCAGCTCTGGGATGAGCTGGGTAAGGGCCACTGCCTTGCAGAGAACAGCAGGGCTGTCTGGGCTGCTGGGCCAACAGACGTCATTCCAGAGGCCCTTTGGGGCTCTGCTCTGGGAGAAGAGACCCTGAGAGATGCTAGGAGCTTACTTTATCTCCTGCCGGGGAAATCGTGGTGGGGGACAGCTGGATCAGGCCCAAACCACACAGTTCAACAGCTTAAACCAGCCCCTCTCCTGCAAAGGGGTCAAGGATGAAGGGTGTGCAGCGTGTGGCCAGTCCCATACTTGCAGCAACCTGGTGTTTGGTGTGCTGCCCCAAAGCCTTTTGGAGGGAGGACAGGGGGGGCTTGTGAGTCCCAGGGGCTGGATGTAGCCTGGATGTGGAAGTGCTGTTCCTGGAGGAACCATGATCCAGAGGGGGAAAGGCAGGTTCTCAAGTCTCATCACATCTAACAGATTTCTGCCCTCTGTGGTGCACATTTCCAGGGTGAGGGGGGCAGGATGGGTGGCACAGAGCCTGGCTGTAAGGGAAATGCAGTTCTGGGTAATTCTATCTAAGCACCTTAGACACTGGCTCAGCTGGCTGACACTGTAATATCATTAGAGCAAAACATTTAGACGATGTGGGCTTGGGGAGGTTGGTTGTGTGGTGAAGTTAACCCAACAATTTTGGGCTCTCCCGGACATCTGGGATCTTGGGTAAATAGTTTGACTTGAGCCATAGTTTTATGAGTGAGTTTGAGCTTCTCTGCAGCCTCCTGGTAGGAGATGCTGTGCAAGGGCGAGGGTTGATTGGCTGGGACCAAAGGGATCTTATGGAGCTGAAAGAAGGATTAGGATGGTCCAGGATCTGGAACACCTGAAACTGCAGCTGGAAATCACAGACCCTCCTACCAAGTGCCCAGCAAATGCAAATATAGTCATGAGGCTGGGGAGCCTGGCCAAACTGTGTAGACAAGGCTGGGCAGGGGTGGGATGACTCACTTCTGCATGAAGTTCCCTGGATGGAAATAACTACACCAGCTCTGGAGAGCTCATCTGTGCTTGCTTGCCAAGAAGATATTTCCAGGATTTTGGGATGCTGCAGCTAGACAGTTGGATAAGCAAGGATCCTGGAGAAGTGGCCAAGTCCACCAAGCCAGAATTTCCGCATGGAAGAAAGCAAACACACTGGTGAAATGTGAATGGATGGGGGTGTGGGCAGGCCTGGACGCCGGAAGCAATTTGCCCAAAATTACAGATTATTTGGCCAGATTTCCAACCCTGTATCCAAGATGAGAGCCCTCCCTCCCTTCCTGCACAGACAAGGGGGGAGTGGTTGGGTTGCAGCCCTGGCTTCACCGTACAAGGACCGGGTTGGTGCGCGCAGTTTTGGTCGGCGCAGTGGGAGGAGGTGACAGCACGTCCCCGTCGGCAGATGGCAAAGTGGCTGGGGAACATCAGGGCCTTACCAGGGCTGGATCAACGTGACAGCAGGGGAAATGTGGTGCCAGCCAACACACGTCAGAGCAAGCAGCTCGCCTGGCACAGGCTTGTCACACAGGAGGGTCTGGGCATTTCCACGCTGAAGAGGAGCCCCTGTAGAGGACACGGTGCTGTTCCAAGAAGCGGCTCCAGGACAGGATGGGCATGGACTATACTCAAAGCAGGGATTATTCCCCCTGTTTTACAGAAGCCTTTTGGATTTGGCCTTGGGCAGCATTGGCTGTAGGCACAGAGCATCCCTCTGAAGGAAGGGTGGAGGCACGGAGGGAGTTGGTGGAGCTCACCAGTAACAAACCTGAGCGACAGAGAGAGGTGTCCCAAACCATCCCTGGATGGGTACCAGTAGCCAGGGCATATGGGGCAGTGAAGGCACCTTATCTGACTGCCTGTGGGCTGTGGATGCCAAAGCTGCTGGTGTTACCATTGCTGCTGAAGGGAGGGATGAGGGGCTTGTTGCCAGCTGCCATGGGAAGCCCAGACCGCAATCCTCCACCACGTGGAAGCGAAAAATGGGTCTCTTGGAAATTATTTTGGGCGCGTGTTTAATAATTAATCATTGATTTTAGCAAAGACTGCATCACAGACTTGCATGGGATTGGAAGAAGATCAGCCTTAAAGAAGATTGTGGATTTGTGCTGGGGAAAATGTAAAGGATTTTGCAGGATTTCAGAGTTTAAAAAAAAAAAAAAAATTAAAATAAAAAATGAGATCGTTTGCTTGTGCATGTGCTGCCAACTGAACATCTATTGCCCCGTCTGCTGGGGAGCCAAAGGAAGGACCTGCTGGCTGGAGAGCTCAGCAGCGTGGGAGTATTTGCCCTGGCGCATTAGTACTTACGATTAAAGCCTAATTACAAAAAATAGACGAAAAACCAGCTGAAGTGCAGCCTGACCTTAATCTGCCTGGAGACGGGTTTATTTATCTCGGCCACTTGTTTACAGTGGGGAATTTCAGCAGATTAAGCCGGGGAGCGACCCTGTGGGAAACGGGAGAATTTCTTTGATGGTTTGGAAACTTGGGCGCGGGATCGGAGCGCCTGTCTTCTCTGGGGCCGGCAGCCAGGACCGCTGGGCTGGGAAGGCGCTGACCCCCCCGTCCCTGCACCCAGCCCCGTCATCAAAAAGCATTTTTGTTTAGAGGCTTAGCTTAATCGTGATCTGCTGCTTTGTTTCCCCGCTTAACCTCCTGCTATCGGAAAGTTCACATGAAGGTTTCTGCAGCATATGAAGAGACGCGGAGTCTGACCTGGCGTGGCATTTTGGCCCAGGACAGGAGTCACTTGTACTGTCAGCTGATGTCACTTGACCATAGGGATCAGAAAACCACTCTGTTCTATCTCCCAGATAATTATCATGACCGAGACATATGCAAATCCCACTTCCCTCCTTGTTCCCATCTCCCCACCGCATCTTCCCTTCTGCAGGAGAGCCCAGGGGCATAACGTTTTGGCAGGCGAAGGATGCCTCGGAGGGCTCCCAAAAATAGGCAGCAGAGTCATGAGGCTTCCGAGGATCGCATATTAGCTGAGCTGTGGGAGCCAAAAACCCAGCGGGTGCATCCCATTCCTGGGGGCGGTGGAGCCAGAGCACCAAGCCTCGTTACCGCCTGTCAGCCAAGCTCTGTGCACCAGCAGAGGCGTGAGCTGAGATTGCCGGAGGCTGCTTTTCACACAAGGAGCCCCAAAGTGGGCGAAGAAGGGCAGTGACAACAGGCAGGAGCCCTGGTGGGAAGGGGATGCCCAGCACCAGGAGCCAAGTGCAGGATTTGCCTCATGGCCATCCGAGGAGGTGGGGAGTTCTGTGCCCTCAGAGTGGCAGTGGGCAGGCACCCACCACTCGGCTGAGGGGCAGCGACCAGAGCCTTAAGGAAGACTCGTTTTCTGGAGCTGAGATCTGATTTTTTCAAAGATGCCATGTCTGTGCGTCCCCTGTGGAGCCTGCAGGAGCCTGGGAGCGAGTTACATGGACTCTGGGAAGGATGGGCCCCTAAGGAGGTAGCTTCTTTACACATTAATTAATCGCTGATGTTGCAGCTCAAAAATCCTAATCCCCCGTGTTCATCAGAAAGGAGTTGGGGGTTTGGTGGGATTTCCTTGGAGCCCCAAAGCTGACAGGCAGATGGAGCTGGACCAGGAGAGAGCTGCTTTGGACATTTGCTGGTCCTCAGTGCCTGCGATTGCTTTCCCCGTGCCCATTCCTGGATGTGATGCTGCTGCCACCATCTGCGTTGTGACGTCTCTCCTGCCGAGCCAGGCTGCTCTGAGGAGCCAGACGTGCACAGCCTCCACGCCTTGCTAATGTTTTGAACTAGACATGTCCACAAGTCCCACCTTGGCAAAGGATGCGTCTGAGGAGGCGCACCCCAAAAGCACCCCCAGAGCTGAGCTGTAATGCAGAGGAGCAGAGACACCGGAGCGGGGCCGGGGCCAGGACATCACTGCTCAGTCTGCTTTTGCCTTGTGTTGCCTGGCAAAGGGACTGGCTGCTCTGGCTGCCTGTGTGGGAGCTGCAGCCTCGCTCGGGGCTGTTTGGCTCGGTGGCAGGGCTGTGCAGCTGGGGAGCTGCCGCTCAACACACAGCCAGCGAGGGAGAGGGGTTTGGGCTCGTGGAGGAATCCCCTCGCTGCGCAGCAGGGGCGTGTTGGGTGATGTTGTCCTGCCACAGGCTGTCACTTTGGGATAGGAACTTGGCTCTGGGAGTCATGGAAAGGTGGGGGAGAGCAGCAGGCAGGGCAGGGAGAAGGAAAGTGCTCCAGGTTGATGCTGGCCCTGCGGAGGAGAGGCAGGGAGTGTGTTTCTGCAGGAGGCTGAGCTGTCCCATGTGTATGGCAGGATTTGACACGGGCAGAGAGAGGAGCAGCAGGAGCTGCTCAGCCCGAGGGGATCCCTGGGGACACCTCACACTGCAGATGTGCCAGCCCACAGCCATCCCATCCCGTGGGGCAGGCACAAGGGAGGGGACTCGCTGCATCTTGGCAGCCTTGCAGGGAAATTTGGATAGAAATGCAATTAGCTAGAGGAGTATTCATGGTTTTGCACTTATTTAGGTTGCTGTAGCCCTTATCAGAGCAGTGAGTGACCCAGGAGAGTTGGCAAGGCTCAGTTCTCAGCACTGGTGTCAGTTTTATGAAAGGATGAGTTGAATCTTGATGACAACAGATGTCCTTGGTCCTGGTTTTACCTCTCACTCAGCAGACAACATTATCAGGACTGTGAGGTCCCATGGTTGACCCAGAGGGCGTCAGCGTGGGTGTCCTGGTGGGCATCTCTGCTTGTGAGATCCAGAGGACTCGCACCTGGGAGGGCTCTTGCCTGCACGACATCAAGCCAAGCTCGAGGTTCTGCTGTTGGTTCCTCTGCAGGCTGGGGGCTACTGGGGATTAAAAAAGAAAAAGAGGGGGAAAAAAAAAAGAAAGAAAATACACCAAATCTCCTTTTTAAATAGTTGAATGCAAATGGCCTGAAGAACAATAGCAGATGAAATAGCATTCAGAGCGGGTTTTAAAGCGCTTGGAACGTGGGTAGGATCAAAATCAGGTTAGTCTTTGGAGATACAGACTCTGCAGCTTGCCAGGGTGTTTTTAAGCATGCTTTGATGTGTAGTTCAAACACTAGATTTGTCCTGGCAGACAGAAGCACTCACAAATTCATACACAGCCGCTCTCTCCTTCCCTCCTCCCCACTGTCCCCCATCTCATGAGATTATAATTTAGCTTCATTATGGAGGAGTTTTACTTTGTCCTGGTTTCAGCTGGGATAGAGTTAATTTCCTTCTTATTTAAAAGCTGTGTAAATCCCCCTCCTGGGTCTGTGCATTATGCTGAAATGAGTTTATGAACCTCGATGAAACCTTGCGGGCTCTCACAGCGAGCGCGGCGGCCGCCGAGCTTTGCCCCGCGCTCACGGCCGTGGCACCTCCGTGACTTCTTGGCTTTGTTTAGGGGCACTGTGGGTGTGTGTGGTGTTAAACCCTCACTGCAAGCTGGAAGAGAAATCCTGCTGGCTCCGGCAGCTGCGCAAGTGGGGCGAGATGGACGTCTGTCCCCTGGAAGATGGCAATTACGGTAACGAGCTTCCCAACATCACTAACGCGCTTACGCAGAGCTCCGGTCACAGCCAAGGTGAGTCCGGGCAGGGGGTGGAAATCCAGCTGATAGCCACAGGGCTTGGGGTCAGGTCAAAACTCACCCAAAGCTGAGAGACCTCAGTTCACCTGCTGGTGGTGTTTCTGGAAGCCCTAGGAATACAGAATGTTTCTCTTCGCTGCCTCTGGTTTTGTGTACGCCTGGAAAGATTTGTCTCTGCTACATCTTAGGTGAAGTCACTTGTGTTTTAAGTGTCAAATTAGAGGCCGTTTTAAAGCAACTTAACTTTGGGGGAGTTTAGACCCCAACGATCTGTGCAGGTTTGGGTGTGGGGTTATACAGAAAACCAGTACCACTTGCATTGGAGCAGAGCTGAGCTCGGAAGCCCTGGCTCTGATGTGAGAGTGAGGAGTTGGAGACGATGCAGAGTCCCTTTCCCAGCCCTCGAGCCTCATTTACAGGGTGTGATTCAGGTCGCAGGGAAATCATTAGCCAGGAGTGTTAACGCAGTTCAAGTGCAGAGCACAGGCAGAGCAATGCAGTTATGGGGTCGTTCCTTGTGATATTTTCTCAACCCTTGACAAAGCATTTGATCCCTTTAAATTTAAACGTGTTTTCTCCTTTCTTTTGCTTGAAGTAGATAGTAATTGAATGTCACTGCTCTTAACATGTCTGTGTTTAGTGCACTAGAGTACTCTTTGGTGTATTATGTGTGGCCAGAGGAGAGGGGGACAGCGGTGAAGGAAACTTCACTCCTCTGGGTGGGATTAGTCCCTCAGCAGTGGTTCAGGAGTGTGGCCGTCCTGCCAACCCACCCCAGCCATGGCCAGCCAGGACCACACACCCTGCTGTTTCCAGTGCCTCCCTATGCCCATCCTCAGGGAGCAGCTTAATTTAAACCTGGCCTTGCTCCATGTCCTGCACCGGCCCTGGGACTCCACACTGGTGTTCCCAGCTCTCCCAAAGATTCACTTCAGCATTTAGGGCAGGTTACTGGGGCTGAGCAGGTCACTTTTTTTTAGACCTGCAGGGAGCTTCCAAAGCACATGCCAGGGATGTCCCCTTCTCCCAGTGCTCCTGCCTCTCCAAGCAGGGGACTGAAAGCAGCACAGATCCTGGAGGTGTCCCAGGGTTCATGTTTGTGCATATGCAAATACTGCTGCAGATTGTTGCCAGCCTCTTTTATTACTGAAGGAGAACAGCTGATTCCTGAAATCCTTCCTGGTAAAGTGAGCAGGCTTGGTTCTCAACATAGAAACACCTGTTTAATTTCTTTCCACCTCGGGGTGCCTGCAGCATTCCGGCTAATTGCTTGTTGTCATCCTTTCCGGAGCGTGTTTATCCAGCCTCCCTGGATCAGCTTTGAACAGTGCCTTTTGTTTTCCACCCTTGAATGCGTTTTTCTCGGCCTGTCTTGTGGGTTGCAGGACCTAAAATTCAGCCTTGCATCCCCTTTGGGGCTTCCTGTTTTGCAGCCCACCGGCTGTGTTTGGCCCTCATGATCCAGTGGGGCTGAAGTGAGAGCGGGATTACTCCAGACATGTTTTTTCTTATGACAAACCACTTGCCTGATCCATCTGGATGGAGTGAAATGCTCGTCCAGCATTTGGTAGCTTCAGAAATGTCCATGAAGTTACAGAGCAGTTCTGAAGAGCACAGACACCCACTGCAGGGCAGCAGTGGGGGTTTCAGGCAGTGCTGTCTCCTCCCTTCCCGCCCCCTCACGCAGCCCCTGGAGGCTGCTGGAAGGTGATGGTTCCCCCTGTCACCCGGAGACAGATGACAGACACTCGTGTGGTTCCCTTCGTGGCTTCAGGTGCTGCTGATCCAAGAAGCTGCGGTTCAGTGAAGCCAGGACTTTGTGTTGGAGAGGAGGACGAGAGCTCATGGTGTTTGCAGGGCAGTAATGCTGAGGAAGCCCAGTCCTGATCCGTGGGCAGCTGCCTGCATGCTGAGCTTTGTGGGGGAGGGAACTGCCATGTTTCAAGACATCAGCCTTGTATGTGACAGTGGATTGCGGTCAGAAAGCGAACAGACGGGCTGCCCCTGCCTCTTTTCTCACCTCTCTGGCCAATTCACCTATTCTAGCAAGTTACTTAGCAATGCTGTCTAAAGAGACATTAGTCTCCATCAGAGATGGGTTGGGCAGGAGAGGTATCCGAAGGCAATCTGCCACAGTGCAGGAGCCAGAGCCCCTGTGCCCATCTCAGAAATGGCATGGGCCCCTGGGCTGGGACCAGGTGGGGCTTTGCTCTCATTGTAAAGGCAGAGCTCTCTCCAGGGAGGTCACGTCTGGGAGGAGGAACAGGCTGCCCCTGCCCCAGCAAGGCCCTGATGGTTTTTCTCTTTGCAGACTCGCTGGCCAGGCCCAGACGAACCGTCTTCACACGGGCCATCGAGGGCTGTGACCTGCACTGGCAGGACAGCCACCTGCAGCGCATCATCAGCAGCGACTTCTACGTGTCCCCCTCCTACCAGCGGGAGGGGGAGAGCCTCCTCTTCAACTCCCAGGGACAGCCGCTGTGGCTGGGTGAGCATCCAGACCAGCAGCCCCTTGCATGGCCTGTGTGGGGAGGGCTGGTGGTGGAGAAGAGCCACCCAAGCCTACCCGGGGTCCTTGAAAGCTTTTGCATCCTAGACTGTAATGGCTTCCCTGATCCTTAGCCTGAGGGGTGGGGCAAGCAGAGGAATTTGATGCCCAGCCACAGTCCTTAGAGCAATCCCCACGCCTTTACAGTCTGGGTTCCTCTTAGGCAGCTTGGACCAAGCTTATCATGTCCTCTTTCATTCTGTCAGTGTTTTAGCTGTCCCCAGTGCAAGCTCTCACTTTTTTCAGTACAGGGGGACTGGACACTTCAAGTTCCTTGAAAGTTGGCTGCTGAGCACTGCTGCATCCTCTGGATTTTTAATTCCCTGCTCTCACCTTGTTACTCTCCCCTTAAAGGCAATGAGTAGGTGGTACAATTAAGCCTTATGAGAGCTTAAGGGGTGAGGCAAGCCCAGTACCCTCCCGTGTTGTAGACTTTTAGCCCATGTGCCTCAAGCCACAGAAGTTCTCTACTGCAAAGTCATGTCCCTGGGCAGATCTGCAGACCCTTGGCAGCTCCATGTCTGGGATGAAAACAAGTGACGTGAAGGGCTTGGTGTGGCTGTCAGCCTTTGGACAGCTCCCAAAATGGGAGACACAAGCCCCCACCTCCTCCAGGAGAGGGGATGACTCATCCCCTACAGCCCAAGAGGTGAATGTATAGACATGGAACACGTCAAAGCCCACCTGTTGTATACTCCAGGAGCTGGGGTCTGCCACCACCCAGCCAAATGGGAAGAGAATATTTAAAGCTGTCTAGAGAGGTGGTTTCTGGAGCAGCAGACACTAAGTTGCTATTAATGCCAGGGAAGGGCCCACGTGAAGGCTGCTGGTACAACTTAGCTGGAGCAGGAGAGGATATTTCTACTCTGGGAAGAGTTTTGGGCAGCTGCAGGCAGAAGGGCTCTTCCCTGTGCAGCCACAGGCAGCATTGGTGGGTTAGTGCATGCATGGGCTCCATCTAGAAGGAATGTGGTGGACACAGCTCCCCTGTCTGTAGCCTAATCTGGGTTCAATTGAGCCCTTAAGTCCAGCTGGTTGCTGTGTGTTATTTTTCTGATGTATTTGCCGTGACTTTTGGATTTTGCGCTTTTGCTTTCTTGGCACCCTTTCAGGGACTCAGTGCTGGGAGAAGAGTGTGATTTGTCAGCAACTTCCAGTGATGAATTCAGCGAGAAGATGAATATTTCATCCATTTAGCAGATGAATAGAGGGAGCAACAAGAAGCTCTTTTACAGATGTGTTTGTTCTGACAACCTCTTCCTCACGTATTCTTTGTGGGTGACCTTTGGGATGTGAAAACCCCACTTGTGGAGGTGGTTGTCTGCATTTCCAGAGCTTTTGGAGCTCTCCCAGGAATAGAAATTATCCCTCTACCAGAACTTTAGATCTTCTGTGTTTGCCTGGGTTTTTTTTCTCCCCTTGGTAGGACATCTTGCAAGAAAATGGGATTTTTGCTGCTCGTTATGCAGCATGTCATGTCATCTGCTCCTGCTAATTTCTCACCCAGTCATAATCCTCTCCACAGTTGCTTGTGATTTCAGGTGAGCAATAAGCAGCAGGAGCAGATGAATTCCTAAGCAACTGTGAGTCCTGGGAGGGGGCTCCATGCAACTCTTCCTAATAATAAAACACCAGGTAGGAGAACTGCAGAAAAGACGGGGTGTCTGCAGAGCTCTCTCCGTGGAGCTGTTAAGGAAGCACTTCAGAGCATCACCCCAAACCTGCCAGTGTCCCCAGCGTGGTGCTGGATGCCCTGTGTATCATCACCTGTGCCACGAGAGCAGGGAGGGGTGTTGGTCAGGGCACCAGGAAGTGTTTGGGTGCACCAGCAGTGAGAGGAATCCCGATTTTAGGAGAAATGAGCGGCTGGGTTGCACCAGCCTGCGCTGGAGCTGCCGTGTTGCAGCTTCCATTAGATAAGCTCTGTGGAGGTGGGGATTTAGGGATTGACGTGGCTGCCGTGGGTTGAATGTGGTAGGAGCCCCGTTAGCATTCCTGCTAGGCATCCCTTCAGGGAGCAGGGAGAAAGGGCTGAATTCAAAACAGGAAGCAGGAGTTGAGCCGGGGCGTGGGGAAGATCGGGAGAAGAAGACGCCGCCTCAGTTCTGCCCCGTAAATGTCTGTGCCCGCCTGGCTCAGCCGTGCCCCCTGTGCTTGTCCTTGCAGAACACGTCCCGACAGCCTGTGCTCGGGTGGATGCCCTGCGCTCCCACGGCTATCCCAGGGAAGCTCTCCGGCTAACCGTTGCCATAATCAACACCCTGCGACTGCAGCAGCAAAGGCAGCTGGAAATATATAAGCATCAGAAGAAAGGTATTGGGAGAAGTGTCTCATGAGGCCTGCCTGGGGTGTCTTAAACTGGTTGGGAAAGTCTTCTCCGCTTCCAAGAGTGGAGAGGTTGAGGGTGGGCAGCACTGCATGGGATCACTCACATCCTAGGAGGACAAACTGATTGCTTGAGCCAGCCTGAGTTGATACTCCCATGCTGAGGACAGAGCTGCCCACATGCTGCTTTCAGGCTGCTGGAGCAGGGATGTTCTTGCTCCCACAGTCGCTGGTGTCTGGTTGCCTGTGTCCAGTTGCCTTTGTCTGGTTGCCCAGGCAAGTGCTGCCTGCATTAAAGAGGAGCTGCCTCTCTGCAGAGCAGCAGTAACTGGCTGTGTGTGCCACCTCCACCTTGCATTTCCTGAGTAAATGTACCAGGAGGCAATCCCAGTGTTCCTCCTTTTGCAGGGAGCTTTTGGGGGTCAGGTACTGCAGTGCTGCTGAAGGTCAGCGACTCTTGGTCCTTGCCAGCTCAGCCAGCTTGACATCACCAAAAGATGGAACTTTTAAGACTTACTGGAAGTCTTTGTCATTTCAGGAGAGATTTCTGCTTGTATTTCCAAAATGTTCAGGCCACCATTGAGAATTAGTCCATAAGCTGCAGGTCTGGCTTTATAGACTCTATCTTGGGACTCTGCAGTCCCTCAGGTCCTCCTGGAACAGAGAAAGAGCTGCTACATGTCACTGCATGCAGTCATTTATGTGGCCTTAGGGGCACCTTTGTGAGTGTGTGCCTGCTCCCTCTGTTGTTTGTGCCTGGTGGCTGCTCTGAGCTGCTCCTTGCCCTTGTGAACTACCATGTCTAGGCTGTGGGAGGAAAAAAAGGTCTCAGAGACCCCCTCTGGGTGCAGAACTTGTCCTTAAATTCCTTACTTCTGTCATCTTTCCGTTCTGTTTTTTTTGCAGAGCTGCTGCAGCGAGGAGCAACAACCATCACCAACCTGGAGGGCTGGGTAGGCCACCCTCTGAACCCCATCGGCTGCCTCTTTCTCACCCTGACCGAAGCTTGTAGATTAGAAGAGGAAAATTGCCTTGAAATTTCAGGTACCGAGTGCTCCTCCTGGCTCCCTTCCCAGTGGCTGTGGCTGAGGTGGGTGCAGGTTGGGGGCTCTGGACACCTGGGCTTTGAGTGTGCCCTCACTGCCTTGGCAGGAGCAGCCAGGGCAGAGCTGCCGTGCAGAGAAGCAAGGTAGTGACCCTGAGTTTTCCCAGCCCCAGGGTCTGCAGCCAGAGCAGAGCAGAGCAGAGCAGGAGGGCAGCTCAGCAGAGCTGGGACAAAGTGTGCTGGTCCATGGGAAGGCTCTGGTGTCAGCTGTGCACCCTGTTGAACATGTCTTGGGTCTCCTGCAGTGACAGCAGAAGGGAGGGGGAAGCCCATATCTCCCTCAGGGAGCTTTTATCCATTATCTCTGGGTGACTGAAGGTGGGCAGGAAGGGAAGTGTGCGTCTTGCTTCTGAAGTTGAGAGGTTTTTTTCCTCTGGCGTGGTTCTGCTACCTAGGAAGACTCTTTTAACCCCACTGCATCTGCTCTCTCTCCTTTCAGACGCTGGGGACTCCAAACCCCCAGTGTATCAACATGTGCCCGTCGTGACCGGCAGCCAAGACAGTGGCGAGTCCTACCTGTCCCTGGCCTTAGAGGTGGCCCTGATGGGGATGGGTCAGCAGAGAGTGATGCCTGAAGGTCTCTATGCCCAGGACAAGGTGTGCCGCAACGAGGAGCAGATCATTGCTCGGCTGCAGGACCTGGAGCTGGACCCGGTGCTGGTGCAGACCCTGCGGAAGCAGTGCATCTTGCTGCTGGAAGGTGAGAACTCAGCTCATCTACCTGACTTCTGTGCCTTAGCTGAATGTTGGTAACATCTCTGAGGTGCCCTTTCCGAAGTTTACTCCTGTCTGACCTCACCCTGGCTTCTTCCTCTCCAGGCGTGGTGCAGAGCCTGTAGGATGGCTGCTCTGCCCCATCGCCTGGCAAAGCAAGGGTTTGCTGGCACCCCTGGGAAAAGACCAACTCTGAGGCAAAAGCACCTCAGTTTCTGAGGCTTTTTGACCTGAAAGGTTTCTTTAGAAGAGGAGAGAGCAGCCCTGGATCTAACTTTAGTAACGTGCCAGGGCAGCAGATCCTCAGAGCTTCGGGGTGGTGCAAACCCCAGCCACAGATCCTGCTGTGCTAATTATGGCTGATGGGCTCTGCTTCTGCCTAGGTGGTCCCTTCAGCGGCTTGGGAGAAGTCATCCACCGTGAGAGCGTCCCCATGCACACCTTTGCCAAATACCTGTTCTCTGCCCTGCTGCCCCACGATGCAGATCTGGCATACAAGCTGGCTTTGCGGGCCATGAGGTTGGTGCATGTTTAATTCTGTCTCTGCCCCCCCTTTTTGCCTCTCTCCTGTGCTCAGTGGGAAGCTGGGATGCTTTGCAACTTCAGAGCAGGGACGGGAGTGGAGTCAGGCTTGGAGCTTGCCATCCTTGGGATCTTGTGCAGTGCGCAGGGCCACGTGGGCACAGCGGCAGTGCAAAAAACTTCCTGCTCTCGTTTTGGGTGATTCCTGGTTTATAAGCCCCATCTGTAATATTTGCATGGATCCAATAATGTCTGCTGGTCCAGCTCTCCACCTCAGCCCCTCACCCCAGGCTGGACCACCACCTGCCTGTCCCCGTGACGGGCATCCTCTGCCGGAGCAGGTCCCAGACACTCACAGGGCTGTCATCTGCCTTCTGTCTGCCAGGCCTCGGGCACCCTGTAGCCCTCCCTGCCTGCAAGAAGGGCTGTTATCCTGGCACAGATGGGTGGATGATTTGCCCTGGGCTCCAGGATGTCGCAGAGCCAGGTGGAGAACACAGTTGCACTCTCTTCTCCATTAAATCCCATCTCTGTCTCTGGAACTGGGGACACAGCTGATGCTGAGAGCTGCCTTATCTCCTTTCCTGGTGCATGACAGACTTCAGACATCAGCCTGTGTACTGCACTGTTTTGACAGGGCCTGGTCTTGAAAAAGCTGGAATTTCCCAAACAAGTCAATGTTTGAAGGAGTATCAACCCTAGAGCATCCAAGTGCTCTCTCACACCATTAAAAGTCCTGGCCCAGAGCATTATCTCCATGCAGCATTTCCTCAGTGAAATGGACAACCAGAGGACAACCAGAGCTAATAAGCAGTGGAGGGCCTCTGTGGGGTATGGGGGCACCATGCCCTGCCAGACCTCCGGCCATCAAACAGGACCGAGTTCCCTGGGGGTGCACGTTGCTCCTTCACCATCTGTTAGTGCCCATCCCCTGCTGCCAGCTGGGACTCCCTGTGTTGGGGTGTCTCTGACCTGGGCTAGAAAGGTTGGGCTTCTGCTGCCCCGTGGTTACCTCAAGCCTGCAAGTGAGGAGAGCAGGGACAGCTGGATGCTCTCCACGTCTGGGGGGACAGTTTCCCTCCTACCTGCCTCAGCTAGCCATCAAGTCAGTGACACCAGCACCAACTCAGGGGTTTAAAAGCTAACATGTATTTGTCACCATGGCTGGCGACACGAGACTCCTACTCCCCTTCCTTAGGCTTCTCCCCTGGTTTTTCCAGGCTTTTGGCTATCCCCACAAAAGCAGGTAACCTAACCGGGCTGCGGAGGCCCTGGGGAAACGTGCCACTGCCTCTGATCATAACCAAGCATCTTAAGAAGAACCAGATGATACAGTCAGGAATTCTGCTGGGTGCTCTGACATGAAAGGAGTGGGAAGGGAGGAGGGATTTTACTTCTTCTCCTTTTTTTTTTTTTTTTTGTGAGGTCTACGCCTTCCCTTACAAGTTTATAAATCGCTTCACGGGTCATTCTCCTCCTTTCAAGTCGGCCTGAGATTGATCCCCGTGCCCATGTGTTGAGCACACAGCCTTGGGAGCCCCACACCTGCAGCAGGATGCCTTCAAAGGCGTCGCTGCAGGCAGCTGCCTGCAGGCAGCCCCTGCCTCGCCCTGGCAGCGCCTCGGGGACAGGGAGTGAAGCCGAGGGCTGGGTTGGGGGTCTGATGTTTCCTTCTCCCGTTTGCCCTTCAGGTTGCCTGTCCTGGAGACCACAGCACCGTCCGGTGACGTGACTCACCCCCACCACCTGGTGTCGGTGGTGCCCAGCAGGTACCCGCGCTGGTTCACCCTGGGGCACCTGGAGTCACAGCAGTGCGAGCTGGCCTCCACCATGCTCACGGCAGCCAAAGGTTGGTGGCAGGGCAGCCCCGGGGCAGAGCTGATGGGATGGTGCTGCACAAGAGCATAGAAGGGTTTTTCCTGGAGGAAAAGAGGGAGGTCTTGCTTCTGCTCCCTCAAGCACCAGCTGGGTGCCCCACTGGCAGCCTGCTATGGGCAAGGTGTGGTGAATTGGCCATGGAGCAGCCCAGCAGAGTCTGTGGCGTTCTTGTCCCAAAGGGCTCATGCTCCAGCGGGGCAGGACGGGAGTTTCCCAGGAGGTGCAGGCAAGCCTGCAGGGGTGCCAACCACAGTGCTGCATGTCCTGGGTAGCGCTGTTGGGTGATGCAGGACCGTGCCTGCCCTGCAGCACAGTCAGCTGCCAGGCTAGTGAGCCCTGCCAGGCATGTCGTGGGTTCATGTCATGGTTTAGTTTGAAGCTGCTTATCCTTTGACCTCTGCTTTGTCCCTTCCTGTCGTGTGGTAATGATCCTGCATGGGCTGTAGGAGGGAGAAGACCTCCCTGGGCACCAAACCACAAGTGGTTTTTGTGAGGGCTGAAGATGGGATCAGCCGTGCTGGGTGGGACACTTTGTTCCCAGCCACAAGGGGCTCGTGAAACACCTCCTCACTGGTCCCTTGGGCCTCTTCAGTTCCTGCCAGGCACAATGATGAAGGCAAGCAGAGGCTTTTCATTAAACATCCCTCTGACCAGAAACCAGCCCCACAAGGATGCCTTGTGTCCCATGAGGGTCAGTGGGCCGAGCAAGTGCTACTGCCAACTGTTGTCCTGGTACTGCCAGGCTGATGGGGAAGGTTTTTCCCAGTGAGATGGAAGGAAAATGAGCTGCCAGAAAGTTCCAGCCTCGCTGCCTTGGCAGCCTCTTCTCTCCTTCCGGCCTCCTCCTCTAGGCTGCTTTTCCAGGGCTGGTGGTGTCCTGCCCCTGACTTGCAGTGCCCTGATGGAGAGCTGGTACCTGGCTTATCCTTGAGATATTTTTTCTCCCTTCCAGTGCCTAATGGGGGATGAGGGGCACGGAGCTGTTGGATTGCATCTGTTTTTCCCCACCGTGCCCTTCCTGGGGTGTTCCCCTGCTGCAGCACGTCCTGATGTGATCCTGTGTCCTCGCAGCCCCTCTTGCCTGCGCCCCCACGAGCCATTTTTAGGGAGGCCTGGATTTTGGTGGCGGTGCGAGCGGCTGCAGTGGGCGGCAGGCGATATCTTTAGCTGTGAGTCACCCGAGATGTCTCCGCATGTCCAGGTGCAGCGCTGGGTTTTTCACACCGCTGTGCGTGATTTGGTTGTCTTTGCATGAGGTTCATCTGCTCGGTCTGCGACTCTGGGAACAGGAACATGAAGCTCAAACGAAGCAGGGAGACCTGGTGTGGCACGTTGGCACCTCTGCTCTGCACACACCCCAAAGGTCTCTCATCCCAAGCTTAGATGCAGGATCATGATATTAATATGCCTCGATGGGTCCCTCTTGCAAGATCCTGCCCTGTCTCCCAGTGCCATCATGTATCTTTCTAGCACCCATGACCTCCTGTGGCAGGAAACCCACAGCATCACTGGGTGTAGTGCCATGAACCCCCTTCTTTGGGCGTAGCTCAGCCTGCCTTGGTTGCAAGAGCTGCTTACCTGCTCTGGGACATCCAGGAGCAAGGTGCAGTGAGAGTCTGGGTGACCCCAACCCGGCCTTGCGTAGGGAAGGGATTTACTGGGCAAGACAGTATGTGTGCAGCAAACAGCTTTTCTTCTTCTTTTTAATGTTCCTGCATGAAGACTGACCTTTCTGCAGCCTTTCAGTACTGGGCATCTCCCCAAACCCCTCCTTTCCTGGGGAGAGGCAGCTGTACAGCTGTCGAACTTGAGGACAGGGTGGAACATCCAGGTGCCTGGAGATGTCTGCTTGAGCTCCTGGACGTGTCTGGGATCAGCCAGGGTTGTTTGTCCTCTCCATGAGAGGATGAACCTGAGTGAGGATGGATGCTGTAGGATGTGTCACCTCCTGGGGAGGATGGTGGATTTTGGACTGTTGGACTGCAGGGCCAGATCCAGCATCCCTGTGTGTCCAGAGGGGCTGGCATGCTGAAGGGACTGTTCACAAGGTGGTGCAGGCAGGAGATGATGCTCAAGGGCAAGGTGGAGGAAGGCTGAGCCATCTGACCATTCTTGCCTGCACACAGGGGACATGCTGCGCCTACGCACGGTGCTGGAGGCCATCCAGAAGAACATCCACTCCTCCTCCTTGATCTTCAAGCTGGCTCAGGATGCATTCAAGATCGCCACGCCAGCTGACAGCAACTCTGACACCACACTGCTCAATGTGGCTCTGGAACTGGGGCTCCAGGTACGGGATAGTGCTGGGGATGCTGGTGGCCCTTCTGCCCCACACGTTGTGGCAGCAACACTGGTGAAGGTCTTCCACCAAGCAGGGTGCTCCCTGTGGAATGAGTAAATTGATCCCTGCATGGTCCTTAGCAGGGGAGCTCAGCCCTGGGAAGCCCCTGTGCTCGCTGTGGTTTGGGTGGAGGTGAGGCAGCACCAGAGAGTTGTTAGCCAGCTGGACCAGGGGAAGCACCGCTCTTTTGGGTGGCCTCTCTGGAGCCATGTGGGGCAGCTGTTCACCCCAAGTTTGCCTCACAGGTGATGCGGATGACCCTGTCCACCCTCAACTGGCGGCGGCGGGAGATGGTGAGGTGGCTGGTGACATGTGCTACCGAAGTAGGTGAGTGCCTCACTGCACTGAGGGGATTTGGCCCACATGTGGTGGGAGTGGGGTTGGGCGTGGAAATCCTAGGGTCATTTGTAGTTCTGGGAATCTGAGCTCTCCTGGGTCTCCCATTTCTTCCTGGGTAACTGAGTGCACCTCAGAGCACCAGCTGTCAGGGCTGGGGCTGCAGCAGTGGCTGGGTTTGGGACTGGGATGGGTCCCCTGTACGTGGGCCAGGCCAGCAGTGCTTGCTGTGCCCTGCAGCGTGGCAGCACAGGGCAGCCTCTGCCTGTCCGCCCCTGCCCTGTCCCTGCTGGGGCAGGGGCAGCAGCTCAGCACTGCTGTGGGCTGGCTTTACCCTGTCTCCAGGTCTCAGAGGAGCCCTGTGAACTGAGCCAGGCTCCAGGGCTGTGCTGTGACCACAGTGTTTTTTTGCAGGGGTGAGGGCCCTGGTGAGCATCCTGCAGAGCTGGTACTCGCTGTTCACTCCCACGGAAGCCACCAGCATTGTGGCGGCCACAGTGATGTCCCACAACACCATCCTGCGCCTGAGCCTGGACTACCCACAGCGGGAGGAGCTGGCCAGCTGCGCCCGCACCCTGGCCCTGCAGTGTGCCATGAAGGACCCCCAGAACTGCGCCCTGTCTGCCCTGACCCTCTGTGAGAAGGACCACATTGCCTTCGAGACTGCCTACCAGATCGTCATCGACGCCGCCTCCACCGGCATGACCTACACCCAGCTCTTCACCATTGCCCGCTACATGGAGCACCGGGGCTACCCACTCCGGGCCTTCAAACTGGCCTCGCTGGCCATGACGCATCTCAACCTGGCCTACAACCAGGACACGCACCCGGCCATCAACGACGTGCTCTGGGCCTGCGCCTTGAGCCACTCTCTGGGCAAAAACGAGCTGGCGGCCATCATCCCGCTGGTGGTGAAGAGCGTGCACTGTGCCACGGTGCTCTCGGACATCCTTCGCCGCTGCACCATGACAGCCCCAGGGCTGGCCGGCATCCCTGGCCGCAGGAACTCGGGGAAGCTGATGTCCACCGACAAAGCCCCCCTGCGACAGCTGCTGGACGCGACGATAAGCGCCTACATCAACACCACCCACTCCCGACTCACCCACATCAGCCCGCGGCACTACGGGGAGTTCATCGAGTTCCTCAGCAAGGCCAGGGAGACCTTCCTCCTGGCGCAGGACGGGCACATACAGTTCGCCCAGTTCATTGACAATCTCAAACAAATCTACAAAGGCAAGAAAAAACTGATGCTGCTGGTGCGGGAACGGTTTGGGTGAGCCCCGGCTCCTGCCGTGCTCACTGGCAGGGTCCGCCCACAGCATGGGGACTCGGGAGAGAAGAAGGAAGGAAAGTGGAGATCACCTTCCCCCCATCGGCAGAGGCTGCTCTGTTCTGGTCTTCTGTTTCTTTTTTTTTTTTTCTTTGTTTCCTCTTTTTTTTTTTTTTTTAATGTTATTCTTTCTTGGATTTAACCATTTCACACACTGAGAGGATCCAGAGATTCCTTGGGCACAAACCAAAAGGCAACCACGGGGAAAAAAGGATGGTTCACCCTGCCCTCCCTTGCCAATACCAAAAGCTAACCTGGAAATCTAATACCTCTTTCCTGAAGGACGCGGTCGCTGGAGGGATACGAAGGTTGCAAAGTGTAAAAAAATCTTTAAACTTACATGGGGAATTTAACAAAAAAAAAAAAAAAAAAAAAAAAAAAAAAAAAAAAAAAAAAAAAAAAAAAAAAAAAAAAAAAAAAAAAAAAAAAAGAAAAAACACAACAAAAAAAGAACAAAAAAAAAAAAAGGAAAAAAAAAAGCGAGCAAAGAAACCTGCGACACTAGAACCTCATGCGTCACCAAAAGCGATGGCTTTGCAGAGTGCTTCTCCCACCCGCCCGAGACATGCAAACTCCTCTATTTGTGAAGATACTTCAATAAAAACAAGTAAAAGTAACTGTTCTCAGGGATTGCTTACTAAAAGTAACACAAAAAAAAAAAAAAAGCATTTATGATACTGTAAATACTATAGTATATGTGTCAATTATTAAATTGTAAAGTTATAATTATTTATAATTCTGTCTTTTATTTGGGGGATACTTGAAATTGTTGTGGGCTGGGGCGATTATTTTTATTATTGCTATTATTATTATTATTGTTATTATTATTATAACTATTATTTAAAAAAAACCTACACAAAACCACAGACAAAAAGAGGAGGAGGCACGCGAACGTTTCTCAGGTTCCCATGGCATTGTCAGCAGCGAGAAGGGTGTGGGGGGGAGGCGAACTATCTGCTTGACTCACAGCCCTGGGACAGATGGACGGACGGACGGACGGAAGGAGGAGCAGCAGCCCAGCGCTGGAGGACAGCGAAGGAAGGGACTCGGGGCGATGCTCGCTCGGACACACGTGGGGCTGGCGCTGGAGGACGCGAGCCCATCGCCTGGCACGCAGCGGTCTCCCGGCAGGTGCGGGGTGTGAGGTGCCCGGGTGGGCACCAGGGCCGCCTGGCTCCTGGGGAGAGAGGGGGCAGGTGCAGCCACGTCACCTCCCCGCACCGTTCTGCTTCCCAGCTCCGTGGTGCAGCCAACGCTCGGCCTTTCCCAGCTCACCCCGCACCAAGGGCAGACTCCAGCCCTGGGCCGGTGGCTCTTCGGTTTTGGTTCATTTCTTTGCCAGCGGGTTGGGAGGGCTGGGGGACCAGGGCCGGTCTGGATGGTGACTTGTAGTTAGAGAACGTGGGCTAGTTATCTGCTGTCTGGTTTGACTTTTAATTTTTTGGCAAGTGACTTGTGTCCGCAAACCGGCCAGGAAACCAATTGTACTCGGTCTCTGTTGCCACCGAAATAGCGGTCTTCAACCAGTCTGTTTCTCTCTTTTTTTCCTTCCCTTTTTTTTTTTTTTTTTTTTTTGCGTGCGTGCGTGTATGTGTGTGTGCGACCTCTTCATCTGATGTTTAATAATAAAAGGGATGAACGTTACCCCCCGTCTCTCTCCTGCCTTTCTCTGAAGTCAGGGGGTCACCACACTTGCTGGGCAGAGCCCTGGGGAGGAGGCAGTGTCGCTGCTCCCTGTGGTACCCGGCTCCTGTGGGGAACTGGAGCAAGGGCAAGGCATCCAGGCTGCTTCTGGGTGCGATTCCCTGCCACGCACGGTGTTAGCAGGTCCCTGATCATGCCGGAGGCACTGCCCTATCTGTGCCAGCTACAGCAGTGTTGGCACCCACGTCTCGATCCATCCTGCAGCCAGCCTGGACCGCAGTGAGTGTGCTGCAGTGTGGGATGGGGTGGCAGATAGTCATAACTCAAGGTTCCTGGTTTACTTCTGCAGGGTTTGCTGAGCCCCAGGCAAGCTTGCCTCTGAGGATCAGGAGAGATGAGGAGGTGTGTATGGGGGAAGAACTGCAGGACTGGTGGGATGGTTGCAAAGAGACTGGGAGCTGGAGAAGGGTGATGGTGGTAATAGGGCCATCCCAACCAGTGTGGCAGGGTGCTGGTGGTGCTGGTTGTTCCCCAGGTGAGTCCAGCTGTGTCTCTCACCCCCTTGGGATTGCCCTGGGTTGACATCATGTTGCCTATTCCCACCTGAGCAGGACTATGGCACTGCTCATGCTGTGAACCCCCAGCTGCCAGGCTGTGACCCTGCCAGCCTCGGGCAGCCCACCTCCCTAGCAGAGCTGAGTGCATCCACAGTGCCAGGAGATGCCTAGTGTGCTCTGGGCTCACATCCTCTCCTGCAAGCACAGACACTGTGCAGCCTGGCAGGGAGAGGCAGTCCCTCTGTCCTGGCACCCGTTTCCCCATTCTGAGCAACAGGACAGAGCTCAGGGGGTTCCCCCTGACCCCACATGCCACTCTAACTGCCTGCCACAACTGCCCATGTCCTTCAGGGCCATCCAGTTCCCCATCCCCCCAGCCAGAGCCACACGGCTGCTGCAGAGAAGGTGCTGGTTTAATGCTGCAGCCCAGCCTGGAGGGAGCCCTGTGACAACACACTACTTGGGGTGACTGTGCCCAAACCAGAGTCCTATCCTCAAGGCCCCAGGCTCAGCTGTGCTTGTTGATGTGACGGGAATGAGCGTGCACGGCCTCTACAAAGGCACCCACGTGTTCAGGGTTCATGTCAGGGTAGAGGCCATGGCCCAGGTTGGCGATGTAACGTTGGGTCCCAAAAGCCTCCAGCATCTTCTTCACCAGCTCGCCAATCTTCTCCTGTAGGCACCATGGGAAACCATGTCAGTCCCATCCTTCCCAGTCCCCAGCCAGTCTAAGGGACTTCTGGGACACAAGCCAGCACTGCAGGTGGGGAAATTGAGGCAGGAGGCCTTTAATACAGGCTGGAACTAGCCCCGGTGGCTGAAAATAGCCATGGCTCACCTTGGGTGCGTAGAGAGCACAAGGATCCAGGTTCCCTTGCAGGGTGACATCTTTCCCTATCTGTGCACTGCAGCAGAGAGGAAGCTTGTGAGTTGTTGCACGTGGCGCAGAGGCTGAGGGCAGCCAGGTGCCTGCAGCCCCCACCACAGGGCACCCAGGACCCCTCAGTGCAGCCCTTGGTTGCTGCAGCATGGTGGCCCAATTACCTCCCCCTGCTCTGGAGCAGCCCGGGGATGGCTCAGGGCAGAGGAGCACCTGAATGCTCTGTCAGACTCTTACCGAGCTTCCTGGGGCCGGATGGTCCAGTCGAGACCAACCACCTCATATCCGGCATGGGCCAGGTCACGCAGTGCGTAGTGCGCGTCCTTCGCAAAGATGATCTGGAGAGGGAGGAGATGGGCAGTAGCTCTGCTATGGGTCAGGCCCCTCTCCACGGGCCAGAATGGGGCAAGCAGGTACCAAGGGGATATACCCCTCTCCAGCAGCCAGGGTCAATCCAGGCAGCCCCGACTCACCATGGGCACCAGGGGCAGCGCCTCTTCCTTCAGCTTGCTCTTGACAGCCTGGGCGATGTCTCGGATGTATGGCAGGGCAAAGTCCTGGAACTGCTCTGGGCCCAAGTGCCCTGCATGGGACTCAAACAGCTGGAGCGCCTGCCAGAGACATGGAATCATTTAGGCTGGGAAAAACCTTTAAAATCATCCGAGTCCAACAGTTAACCCAGCACTGCCAAACCCACCACATATCCCCAGGTGCCACAACTACACATCTCTCAAATACCTCCAGGGATGGCAACTCAACTGCTTTCCCATGGGGCTGGGAGAGCAACACCTCAGTCCCTCTCCCTCCTCCACCCAGAAGCTGGACCCTCTCTGCTCCCTGTCCCCAGTCCCTGCCTTCCAGCCTGGCCCTGTCCCCATACCCCAGGACACACCTGCGCTCCAGCAGCCACCTGCCCCACCAGGTAGTCAGTGATGACATCAGCCAGCAGCCGCAGCAGTTGGTGGCTCGCTTCGGGGTGCCGGTAGAGCCAGCTCTTGGCCTTGGACATTGTAGAGGAGCCGCCACCCTCAATCATGTAGGACATGAGTGTCCACTGCAGGCAGGAGAGGAGTGAAGTGAGGAGGGTGATGGAGATGAAAGAAGACATGAGGCACCGGTCGCAGTGCTGAAGGTAGGACCTGTGAGCACCTCAGAGCCTGAGGCACAGCTGTTCCTGCACTGAATGTTCCCCACTTACACAGCCCTGTAGCACCCACATCTGGAGGTGTCATGGCTGGTGTTACCCCAGGAGGGCAAAGGAGCCCAGCAAGGAGACCCACATGGAGGAGCCACATCACTTACCGGTGCCCCTGAGAAGCCGATGAGGGGCACTCTGCCCTCCAGGCTGTGTCGTGTCAGAGTGATGGCCTGGAAGACATAACCTAGCTCCGCTGTCACATCCACCTTCTGTCGCAGTTTCAGCAGATCCTCCACCTCCTTCAGGGGCTCTGTGAATGTGGGTCCCTTGCCAGGGACCATGACAACCTCCATGCCCAGCGCCTGGGGAAAGGGGAGAATGGAAGAAGCAGGAATGGGGCATCTCTGAACTCTGCCCCATTCCCAGTGGCTGCCCCCCATGTCATTGGCAATGGCTCTCACCTGGGGCACCACCAAGATGTCAGAGAATATGATGGCAGCATCCAAGGGGAATCGCCTGAGTGGCTGCAGAGAAGAGGCAGTGTCAGTGAGGGGCTGGGACCCCTCCCCATGGAGGGCCTGGACAAGCACATGAGGCAGTGGGGTCTCCAAGCGCTGAACAATTTACTGGCACCACCTGGGGAAGCCAGACCCAAGGCTTCTCCCCATCCCTGTCTGGTCAGGGAGAGGGGGGACACACAGACCCTGCTGAGGAATGCTCTCACCTGCAGCGTCAGCTCACAGCACAATTTGGGGCTCCGGCAAGTGGCAAAGAAATCCTGCGCTGCCCGGGTCTCCCGAAACTCTGCAAGGGACCAGCACAAAGGTTACCGGGTGCATGCTGAGGGCCCCTCGCCGACCCCACGTGCCTCCACACCGGCTCACCTGGCAGGTACCGCCCCGCCTGCCGCATGCACCACACCGGGGTGTGCTCCGTCTCCTCCCCGCGCGCCGCGCGAAGGAACGTGTCGTTCTTCAGCTTGGGGAAGCCTTTGGGACTACGGGGGAAAGAGCGGGTACAGGCTGTCACCCACGAGGGGTTTGGGGCAGGGGATGCCATGGCCAGCGGCTCGTCCCCACTCCCCAGCCGCTGACCGCAGGGAAGGGCTTGGGCCCAGCTGTGACAAACGCGATAAATTCTCCCCACCACAGTCCAGGGCCTCTTCCTGCTGGGGGCTGCGGGGCCCTCCCCAGGGAGAGGCGATGCCCGGCCCAGGGCCCGCGAGATTAAGTTATCGGGGCCGCCAGTTGCTCCCGCCTGGAGAGGTTTGGGACGAGCGGGCGCGGGGGCGGGCAGGGGCGCCCCTGTCTGTGCCGGGCCACGCGTCCCCAGCACCTCCGTCGCGGTGTCATCACCGAGGGGCTGCTGGAGGCCGACCGGCCCCGGGATGAGGAACCCCGAGAACCGCGGGGCTCAGGGGAACAAAGTCCTCAAAACCTCCGCCGTGGCACCAGCAACTTCTCTACCGCACCAGTGCCCCTGCTGATCCCTCCTAGTGCAGAACTAGCACTCCCCGTGCCTCCTCAATGCAGGATCAACCCCCACAGAGCGACCTCAGTGCCGGACCCAGGTGCCAGCACCACAACCCCAGGGCCCCCGCGGTGCCTCACCAGTGGCCCCAGTACGGCACCCCGCCACCAAAGCACCATGCCCGGGGCCCCCGCAGCGCCAGATCGCCATTCCCAGAGTCACACGAGTGTCCCCAGTGCAGGACCCCAGCGCCAAAGCACCATCCCCAGGCCCAGATAGCCGTTCCTAGAGCCACACCAGGGTCCCCCGTGCAGATCCCGGTGCGTGTCCCCTGTCACCGCACTAGGAGGAGCCGCAGCCCTGCCTGGTCCCGGTTACTCACAGCAGCCGCTCACCACCCTCCATCTCCTGCACCGCTCCTCGGCCCCCGCGTTGCCTCCCGACGAAGCGCGGTCCGCCCGGGCCCGCCCCCGGCCCGCCCCGCCGGCGCCGCCATCTTGCCGTAGTCCCGCCTCCCCGCCCGCCGCCATCTTACCCCGCCCCCCTCCGTACACCGCCCCGCCGTGCGCCGCCATCTTGCCCTGCTCCTCACTCCTCCGTACGTGGCACGGGCGCCGCCATCTTGCCTGTCGGCGGGCGGGGTTCGCCGTAAACCGGAGCGGGGCTCGGCCGGTGCCCGGTGCGCGATGCGGGCGGGCGGGGAGGCGCCGCACCAGGTGCTGGGCCGGCTGCGGTTCCTGCTGCAGTGCAGCGAGTGCTTCCGCCGCGCCCGGGCGCTGCCCGCCGCGCTCTGCTACGTGCCCAAGGAGGTGCAGTACAAGATCTGCAAGGACCCCGCGGCCG